TCTCTCTCTCTCTCTTAACTTTAAGAGCCTCTCTCTCTCTAAACTTTTCTTTCCTCAGGGTTTCATTTGTATGCGGTAGCCAGGGTGGGAAAGGGGGGTTTCGGGGGCCTCTGGCCTCTTTTTTCCTCCTTTTGCTATTTTTTTTTCTCTTTCATTTCCTTTCTTTTCTGATCAAATAACTTGGAAGCTTTGGCTTTCCATTCTCTACCTTCTTTGTGAGGTGTTCGTTTTCCTTTACCTCAACTTCGGCCGTGGCTTTCGTTGAATCCACCCTCTCTCCTCTATCCCGCCTCCTTCCAGTGTAGTCCATCATCGCCAGTTTTGCCACCCTTCATCGTCATCTCTGCCGCCTTCTCCAGGCATGCCGGATGTCGCCTCCCTTCCCCTACTCTGCCACCTTCTTCCCCGCCGGATTCACTGTCGTCGTTGCTGATGCTTTGGTTTGTGGTTATTTTGCCTTTTGTTTTTTCCTAGTTTTTCTTTGGGTTTGCCTTGCTGTTAGTAGCTATTTTATGGTTTGTTTTGTGGGTTTGTTTTATTCTTCTAGTTTTCTATGGTTTTGTGGGTTTGTTCTTGCTGTTTTGTGTGTGTGTCTGTGTGAGTCCATCAGTGGTTATGTTTAACTTACCTCTCTATGGTTGGTGTTTATAATTTATCCCAGACATGCTCTATTGCTGTCTTTTATGATCGGTTATGCTATGCAATATGAGCACAAGCACAAGATGTGCATCTGAATGTTTTTATAGGTTCTTTCCTTTGTATTTCTTACTATATCTTTCTTTTGTTTGGTATAGGTTTTGGGTTGGATGGACTCTTGTAAGTACAATTTGGCTTTCCTTAATGGATTCTTCTTCCGAAAAAAAAAACCCTGTGCTAATGTAATCCACTAACAAAATAGTACTCCAAAGTAATTTAAAATCATATTCCTACTCTCGACACTCCCATAAGTAAAAATCTTCGCAGCTCTACTCCTCAAAATATGAAAAAATAAAAGGAGTAAGCTAGACAACCCAGTAAATGATCAACCATCACTGCTAGCTGGATCAAGTATACAAAGAAAATAGTCGATAACCAATAAATGTATTTTTGCTACAATTCAATATAATGAACTGAAAAATCTAAAATCCCCGAGATATTGATTCTTGACTATGTTTTAATTTAAAACAATAAATAACAATTCCAATAAAAAAATCAAGACAAATCGATACAACGATTTAACGTGAAAAAAAAAATCACAATTGAAGCACCTCCAATTGTGATAAAAAATCACGGGCCAAAGTCACAAAGCAATCCACTAAAAAGATAAAAAGGAATTACACTTGAGTACTCTCAGTTATCTAGTGAATTCACGCCCGAATTGAACAGACTCCAATGTGTCTCTTCCACCACCTTCTTCACCACAAAATTATCTTGATCAACATTGAATCCACGACGATGAGCCACTCTGGAATCCACTAAAGCTTCAGAACCAAATTTCCTGAAATCCACCAAAGAAAACCACTCTTTTTTGTGAGTAAAGAAAATAAACAAACCCCTTGATAATGTTAATATGAAGTTCATATATCCATTGATCACTCTCAAATCATCAAGGAAACACTCAAAAAAATACCTTTCAATATAGAAAACCTTAGTGGCTTTGCTCTTCCAGAATTTGGAAGGCCTAAACCTTAAAAACAACAAACGACGCACTTCATAAAAAATAGGATCACGAAGATCGCTCGAGCGACCACTTCATCGCTCGAGCAAACTCACTAAAACACGTACTCATCGCTCGAGCGAATAAAGGATTCTCTTGAAAGTTCAATTTGCTCTACAAAAATAGTAGATGATGCCATTCAACGCTCGAGTGCACAAGTGGCCGCTCAAGCGGTCAAACAACTTTGGACAACTCAAAAGTTCAGGTAGCTCAGTCCCCATACATAGTCAACGAAGTGGCAACTATGAAAGTCTCAATATCACAAACTCCTCTGAATAGACATAATTTGGGTTAGATTCGCATTTAAACACTCACATCCTCACTAAAACAAAAGAGCGAATAAAATTACAACTGAAAGGAGTTTTGTTAAATGGGATTGCTAATTACAAAAACTTAACATGAACAATTATTTTGTAAGATAGTTGCATAGCTAAAAATAAACAGTGTAGCAATACATCTTAACTGAGAAGACAATAAGATAATTTAAAGTAATTTCATTGTTCAAATCGATGGTTCAACATTTAGATGGTTCAATGATTCAATTCACAAAACTCAAGTCTTGGTGACTACAGTCACTTAGCTCGTGACAAGTCCCAGAACCACATATAGGCCGATGGTGAAGCCCCAAAAGAAACTAGGGTCAAAATCAGTGGCGGAGCTAGGAATTCAGTAAAGAGAGGGCACAAATTAATGACAACATTGATTTTATTTTTTTCTCATAATAAACAACAATGAGATATTACTAAACTTAAATATTAAGAGTCCATTTAGATAAATGTAAATTTTAAATTAAAGTATTTAAGGTTAAATTTATACAAATATTGGGGAGTAACTAATTTAGGTGGATTGGAAAATTAAAAAAGAAGATAAGTTGAGATAGAAATGACATGTGACTACAGTCACTTAGCTCGTGACAAGTCCCAGAACCACATATAGGCCGATGGTGAAGCCCCAAAAGAAACTAGGGTCAAAATCAGTGGCGGAGCTAGGAATTCAGTGAAGAGGGGGCACAAATTAATGACAACATTGATTTTATTTTTTTCTCATAATAAACAACAATGACATATTACTAAACTTAATTATTAAGAGTCCATTTAGATAAATGTAAATTTTAAATTAAAGTATTTGAGGTTAAATTTATACAAATATTGGGGAGTAACTAATTTATGTGGATTGGAAAATTAAAAAAGAAGATAAGTTGAGATAGAAATGATATATTTTAGTGGAGAAATTCTATAAAACACACCGCTAAAAAGGTGCCTATCATATGCCATAGCTATGATCTTCGTGGTCTTTAGTTAACACATTGTAGTGCTGGATATAACTTAGTTATAACTTCTTGTAGTTGATATTTTGGTTATGACTAAAGAGGTCTTTGGTTATATATTATCAAGTAATGGTTAGGTATGACTCATTCTGATGTTAATTATGTCCTATTGTGATTTTTTTTTCTTCTTTTTTTGTTATAATTGAAGTTGTGTTGCTTGGTTATAATTTATATAGTGGACATTTTAGTTATGAATGAAAATAATTTGGTTATGAAAATTCATAATATCAATACTATAAAGTCATAACTTGGTACACCCCTTTTAGAGGTGTATAATAGAATGATCGATTTTAGTAGGTTCCTTGTAATTAGAAGGAAATAGAGGGACTATTACAATTTTAAGAAGGGATATTATTGTAATTTTATAGAGGATATATATATAGGGGTACTAATATAATTATCAAAACTTTAGGGGGGCACGTGCCCCCTTGGTACTATACTGACCCTGGTCCAAATCATAGTCAAGCTAAAGTGATGTTCAGAATTCAAACTCCCTATAAATAAAGTGTTCAACATTTTCAAAATAAATATTTGGTACAAACTTTCATAGTAGTTTCACAAATTTTCAAAATAATTTTCAGAATAATAGTCGATGCTATTTTATATTTGACCCATATTTTTATTTTAAGAGAACAAAAAAGCTATAAATAAATATTTATAATTTCAAATGATTTGATAGAAATAAAATGAACCAACAATGATAGAAGGTTACTTACCTTAATAGCTAAACTAAATCTCAAAACCCAGGTAGGCACAAACAGATTTTCTAAAATCCCTAAAAGCATTGAGTGTTTTATTTCTCAATAAAAATTTAATAACTAGTAATACAAGATGGGTCTTACCTCAATCAATGGGTGTATCAGGATATCTCCAATATGCTGAGCCCTCAATTCCTACCGCAGCCTCAGACTTGAATCCTCTGTGAAATCGTGATGATAAAATAATACGAAACCTCCTTTTTTTTTTTTAACTTCTTGAATGCACTCTCACAGCCGCAAGATATAATAGCACAAATTCACTTTAGTAATCTAATTCTCCAAAATTAAAATGTTACCCATCTAAGGTACAAAATTACAGTATCACCCATAGCTAATTTCTTATTATTTTAACTATTATATAACCAAAACTCGGATTTCACGTGAATAAACTCGAGCATGTTCTGGATGAAGTCGTGGTGGATTATATAATACCATTAGAAGTACAAATTTAAAGGATTTATATTTCATTATTTGATTATAACTTTTTGATGAGACTTAAGGCTTGGTTTGATTTGGTTTGGTTTGGTTTATTTGATTATAACTTTTCTTATTCAGATTAGATTTCAATTGACATTTTATCCAATAAAATTAGTAAATTTTTTAATCCTACAACTAATGGGGAGGCTTCTTTTCCAGTCTGGTATCAGACTAAAGGGTGCTATTGGCCCATATGCTTGCCTTGCTCTGGGTCCATCTCAATAATCTAAACTTTTTATGTGTAGGGCTCATCGACTACCTCATCTCTGCACAAAGTCATGTTGATCGAATATTAATAACCATTTGATCAAATCACAATTGTGTCAATGACAAGTATGGTTTTATATATTGCAAAACAAACGTGGCCAAGAAGAAATTACATATCCCAGTAATCTAGTTGGATTATTAATCCTACACAAATCTCTTCTATTGTTAATCCCCTTACTATTAATCTACAGCCACTTGCACAAAGAGTATTTCAATCTCCAGCTAAAGCATGCCACGATAAGCATGGCAAGAGACAGCCTTTCGATAGTTATCGCGGTGATATGCTAGAAATAGTGTCCTGATTTGCAGAAGGATCTGTGGTCGAAGATGACTTCATATGAGCAATTCTGCCAACAGAAACTGCAGGTTGTCTTGGTTGAGGAAGTGTTGCTGATTCACTTCCCAACAAAACAACCACAGATGACATATTGGGCCTATCTGCTGGATCTTCTTGGACACACAAAAGCCCGATATGAATGCATAGTACAACTTCTGTCACGGGGCATGATCCCGCCAACAATGGATCCAAAAATTCCAATTCTTTTCCTTCATTCCATAGTCGCCATGCCTGTAAAATCGAGTTGTTTGGAAGCACATCCAATTTAGAAGGGGGGAAAAAAAAGTAGTTAACATCTAGTTATCTCAGTATTGTAATTCAAGGGGGTGAGAAAACACACATAAGCAAGGAGTGTCGGAGCATGTTTCGTGAGGTAAAAGCCACTGTTTCTTTTCCCACTAATGATCTCCAGCAAGATTACGTTGAAACTAAAGACATCAGACTTCACAGAAAATAATCTTCCTATTGCATATTGTGGAGCCATTTATCCTCTGCATCAAATATGATAATTACATATTATGGTATATTGAAAGATACATATTGACCGATATTTAAAATTATTGGAAACACTTACTATGTTCCTACAACTCTTTTGGTGTTAGCAGTGTTTTGGTCTTCGCCAAAAATCCGTGCCATTCCAAAGTCTGAAATCTTTGCGACCATTTCTTGGTCCAGTAAAACATTATTTGGCTTTAGATCCCTGTGTATGATTTTAAGCCTTGAGTCTTCATGCAAATAAAGTAGTCCCCGAGCAATGCCATGAATAATATTAAAGCGTATATCCCAGTGAAGTTCTACACACTTCTCTAAATCTGAAATCGTAGAAAAAAAATTAAAGCTCTCCAGGTAATGTTTTGTCTATTTTCTTAGCTACATTGAGCTGTAAGTAAAGTCTATAGATGAAAAATACAAAAACAAACCAAATAGGAAGAGATCAAGGCTTTTGTTAGGCATGTATTCATATATGAGCAGCTTTTCTTCTTCCTGTATGCCACAACCCAAAAGTCTGACAAGGTTTCTGTGTTGAAGTTTTGCAATTACTATGACTTCATTCATGATCTCCTCTAATCCTTGCCATGATTTCCTCGATAGTCTTTTAACTTCTATTTCCTTGCCATCAGACAAGACACCCTACAAATTTCAGTTGAATATATATATATTTTTATCAGCAAAAAAGAGGGCTTTATTGATGAAAATCAAATTACAAAGCAAATGACAAACATCAACAAAAAATGAGAGTGCAAAAAACATCAAAACAAAACCGAACGATCCCAACTATGTTGGCACCGAAAACAAGCCCAATCATTTGCTACCACAATACCGAGTTGGTGAGAACCCAAAAAAAACAGACAAAACAAAAGCAGAATAATAGAAAAATAAAACAAAGCAACAGAGTAATTGTGCTAGCAAAAACAGAATAGTTTCAGTTGAATTATTACTGATCAAAAAGGATAAACGCCTACCAATTTTAGGGTCCAAAAATCGGCCGATATTTTGGACTTTTGATATTCATAGATATATCAGCCAGTATCAAATATCGCCAATGATATCGATATGTATCCAGATACTGTCATTTAAAACAATATTAAGCACTACCTGATTGATCACGTTAAACAGAGAAGAAACTGTTACCTTGTAAACAGTGCCGAACCCACCTTGTCCGAGCTTATTTGAATCAGAGAAGTTGTCTGTGGCTGCCATTATAGTAGCCAACTCCATGAAAGGCAGTTCCTGAGAACTGACAAATTGACCTTCTTGATTAATGGCAACACTAGGTGGGTTTGCCAATTCATGTAACAATGCACTTTGGCTTCTTTCCTCATCTGCAGGGCAGGAGACTGTTCTGTTAATGTAGTTAATACATTGATATGTATGGGAATGTAGTTTGTTGGCTACTTTAGCATTTGGTCAACAATAAGCCTTGAAATACAAAAACAAAATACAAAATGGGACACAGAAAACGCTTGTTCTATGTCCGATTTTGTGTTTGGTTATGTGTTCTTAAACTTGCTATTTTGTAAATTTACCCTTTTGTGTTCCATTGCTTCGCTGACGCCAAATAACATAGCGGCCAGCAGCAAGACCTGCGAGCACGAATGTTGTTGCACCGATAACGAGCATAGCCACCGTAATCTTCTTTCTTTGCCCTGTTTGTTTGGGAAAAAACCTTTGTTTTCAATTTCAGTTCATATTGTATACACTGTCTATTATTAAAATAATAAAATTCTAATGACAATAGACTTGTTTGGGAAATTGTTTTCAGGATAATTATTGAAAACAATCATATTATCAAACACTTTAAAGTTGTTTATGAATTTTAATAAAGTATTTTTGCCCAAAATTTAAAAATATTTTGACTAACTAAACTTCAAAAATGGTTTCAGACTAAAACCAACTAGCTTGTACCTGTTAATAGATGCTTACACAAGCAATATGGTTTTCTTGCTTTCTTCAAACATGTGGCAAACAGGCATTAGCATAGACAAAGTAACTAATTTACATTCAATTTTCTTACTGTTGATAGTAGGTTCGTTGTAAAACTGGTATAGCTGAAACCTCATGTTGCAGTTTCTGCTGAAAATTGTACCACCTTGGAGAGAACTGCAGCACGCTTCAAGGTCTCCAAATTCATCAGTCAAACAATGTCTACAATCACTATGAGAGATGTCTCTTGTGCACTGTACAAGCCCATAGATTGATTCATTCCTTGAAAATTTGGTTTTACCAGTAACAAACATGAGGTTAGAAGGATTGACAGTGGCTTCATCCGAGAGTTTATTCATAAAATCCTTCAAAACATTAATAAAACTAACACGGTCTGATATATTTTTCTCCTGTTTGTTCGAGTCAGGATACAATCCATTATAGAGCATCGAGGAAAAGAAAGGCAGGTGTGAGTATCGTACTTGACAGAATTCATGCCATATAATTGCATTTTGGGTTGGACACACTGTCATGATCTCCTGGCTTGCATTCTTTATGCAATCCCGGCACACTTCAGGAGTGATATCCCCTCTGCAAAGAGCTTGCCCGTAAACTTGATCAGTATTGTTTCCGATTGCAGCACTGTTGAAGCCTTGATTTAATGGAGTGTTCGATGATAGGGACTCAAGAAGGATCTTGAGGTTGTTCCCAAATTGGCTATTTGGTGTGTAATTAGTTGGACTTGAATCACAAGATATGGATTTAGGATCTGCAGAAACAGGGTCACAGAGCAAGAACAGGGACAACATTAGGAAAATCATAGCTGAAAGGGGTGATGCTATGGTACATTTTGGTGTACCATACATTTAGTTATGAACTTATATGATTTTATATCATAACCTATACCATATTAGTCATAACTATCATCATATTAACTCATAACTTAGTTATATTCAATTATTTACATATACCATATTATTTCATAATCAGGTCATAACTAAGTTATTAAATAATTTTTTTCTTAAATTAGGCAACCGGTGTACCCGATTACCAAACAGAGCAAAGTGAGAGTAGTCCAACAGTCCCGAAGCCAGTTGGCCTCCCTCTCTGGGTCGTGCTCTTGCTCTTGCTCTTCTCTTCTCATCCCTCCTCTCTTCCACCATAGCTGGAGCTTCAGCCATTGCCGAAGACCACCAGCCCCGTTGGCGTCGGGACCACCACTCTCTCAGTCGAACCTCTCACTCTCTTGACGTCAAGAACTAGAGTTTCTTCCATTCAAATCGAATATTTCCAAGAGATATTTTCTGTGGCTCAGGTTTGTTTCTAACTCTAAACTTCATTTACATTAGGGCTTTTGATTTGAAAACCCTAACCCTTATTGAATATCTGATATTAACTCTTAACCCTAACCCTTAATTTTCCTTTCTTTTGTATTTTCCTCTGCTTTCTCGTTAGCCACACATACACACACACAGAAGATGTGCGTGAGTGTGTTGAAATCAAAGGTATGATGGAAGAGTCTGACAATAAATAAATAAATTAATTAAAAAATATTATTGTCAATTTTAAAATTTCGACAATATTGAAGTTTTTTTGGCAGTCATGGCAAATCTTTTGTGCATGCTTTAGTTATCTCTTTGGGGTCTTTGTGCATTTTGGACTATTTTTGGATTTTGAATTTGTGAAGCAATTTGTTGAGAGAAAATAATAAGGAAGAGATTTTTGTGAAAAAATTCATCCTCTATTTCATTCACAAATCCCTTTTTTTTTCTTTTTTTTTTTTGTGAAGATTTTTTTTTTCTTTTCATTTACAAATCTTTGCACAAATCCTTTTATTTCTTGCAAATTCATGGTATGTTTATGTATGCCTCATATATACTTACATTTACATCACTGTTGCTTTCTTCTTGGTGCAACCCAATTGAATTTGTTGTAGAATCTGCAATGGTTTGTAATTAATGTCCATGAAAAACAAATCATAACATTTTAATATATAATAATAACATACATTTTCGTTCTAATTTTAAAAACGTTACTAATGCATGATGGATAGACACTCGCATGTTTGTGGCTCCCATTTTGTGTGAGATCCATAAACATGTGAGTATTTGTATATCATTATGTGATTTATTTTATATCAGTAGTATTTTTTAGTCCTTAATCTTTTGAATAATTTCGTAAAAATCTCAAAACACAAGAATCTTGAAAATTGTTGTGTAGTGAAAAAATAAAAAAGTGAAATGCCAATTAAATATAAGTTTTAAATTTCTTTTCTCTTTTCTATTCTCTTCTCAAATATTTTCAAAATTTAAAATTCAAACACAACTTAAAAAAAATTAAATTCGCAACAAATGATAGAGAAGGCAGAGAAACAAGGACCTATTTGGGTTGTGGTTGGGAGAGAGCAATTAATGCTTCCTTTCTAATCACTGGGACAGTCACAGACATCATTCTCAACCAAACATGCACCTCCATGGAAACAGAAAATGTCACCACATGGTGCCCCTGCAAGCTCACAGTGCTCTCCACTATGCCCTGTTTGGCACTGGCATTTATAACTCTCACCCTGAACTATCTCCTCGCAAGTCCCTCCATTTCCACACCAAAATGAGTTAGTCCCATCACACATTGTCATTTCCTCATCACAAAACCTCCCCCTGTTAATCAAAACAATAGAACACAAGAAGTTCCATGATGTTTCAATTCCATGAATCTAATCAACTAAAAAACAATGAGCATCAAGTATAGAGACAAAATTCTTTCTTTAAAAAAAAAACTAATAAAATACAGTACTGACAACACTACATTTATTTTGGATAGAGTCACATTCTATCAAAATAAATGCAATATTAATACTGATAGTATGACATTTATTTTGAAAGGAGTCACACTCTATTAGAATGAATGTGATATAGGCCGCATTTTTTCAATATACTTTTGTATGACAAATTTATGTTTATAACATTATTAATTATATATCATACCAAAAAAGTGCTTGTTGAAGAATTTCAAGATTTTCTTATATTGGTGTTTGGTACATTAATGATTCAAGTTGGTATGAAAACTTCCATTGAAAATCATATGGTTATAAATTGAGAAATAGTTTCAAAAATTGCACAAAATATAGTGTTGGCAGCACTGCATTCATTCTAGATGAAATTATACTAGAATAAACGTAATGTTGGCAATACTACATGTTGTACATTTTTCTATGAAAAAATTGTGTTCGTAGCATTACTTGTTTCTTTTTCTTCTTCTTCCATTTATTTATTTATTTTTTTAAATCTTGCTAAAGAATTTCAATATTTTCTTATAATGGTGTCTAGCACAAGAATGATTTAAGTGTTGTATGAAAACTTCCATTGAAAACCATATATATATATATATATATATATAGGTTTGAATGAATCAGGGCAAAGTTAGATTTACCCTTGAAAGGTCGATCACCAATCTAAAATGCGTGGAAGGTTCTGGAAGATTGCAATACAGTGCAGTGCTCGTTGCCATTGATCCAGTTTGCATCTGTCGTTCAGTCACACGGTAGATGCATCCC